TTTTATGATATATAAAAGCAGCAAATTAAATTCACTCAGGTTAAAAACCTTGGAAATTTGGTAAAAATAAAAAATAATAATAATAACCTTAATAGAAATAATTCCTAAAACGTTGAAGGTAAAACTTTTAGCAGCAGTAAATAAAAATTCATGTTTTCAAATTTAATCAATTATCACCTTTTCTTAAATAGCATTTTTAAAAACTTTTAGTATACCTCAGATACTGAACTGACAAAAGTCAAAGAAAAGAAGCTGAATTTTTTTTAAATGCTTATTAACCCTTCGAACAATATGAGTTTTTGTTTAAAAAAAACAAAAAAAAAAAATTTCTAAAACAGAAATTAGGAAGATATTTTCGCGATTTTAATGCCAAAATGTACTGGTTCTTCATATCTGGATTTATGTACTTTTAATATATTTCCTTAAACACCTGGACATATTTCACGATCCAAGTATTCATACTTTCTTAAAGGTGTCACAAAAAATAATCTAAGGCATGTATACATATATATATATAACCTTGCCAATCACAAGATTAAAAAGTAAATCAAAAGAATGCAATAACATCATGTGGTTTCTTACATTGGGTATTATTATATATTGTAATCTTATGCCAAATTTGAATTCCCATAGTTATTAAAATTCGTGTATATATATATATATATATATATACGAATTTTAATACACACATATATTATTTGGTATTTTTGCGATTTAAGATTTTTCTTAGCAGATTTTTAACAAGAAGTTGAAATTACTATTTAAAATATTAATTTAAATTCTGACTAAGAAAAAATTTTTTTCACTCATGGTTTTAAATTGAATTTCTAATCCTTGCAGATGCTATATAGAAAATTTTCTTATTATAAATTATTAGTTTATTACTTTGCAGCTTTAGAGCAAGTCACAGGCTTTTTAATTTACTTTTAATTACTTTATTATGAATTTATATTCTGACTAATAGCAGCTTTTAGCACTATTTTAGTAAAAGCCTTCTCTCTATGTATTATCTTCAAGAAGAATTCCAATTTTCTCGCCAATTTAGACTAAACTTACTTAAATAGAAAACTGCACTTTACGACAAGCCATTTACTTCCATCACTTAACATTTGAATTTCCAGTCATATGGTCTTAAAATTTTGAAGGCCAGTTAGTTAATTTTAACTTACTAGTTTGATCTTTAAAATTTGTAATTAACTTCATGTTTTAAAATTTTATTTTGAGGTTGTATCGTTTTTTTATCTTCTTATGATTCTGAATTAACTTTTATTATTCTAATATGTTTACTTCTGTTTTTGATTTTGAAGTTAGAGTGTAGAGGATATGTCTTCTAAAGTAAGCATCTCGTTCAGATTAACTGTGTTCTTAATAGAAACTTTAATTTTAATATTATTTGCTATTTTGTTTAACAAGATTCTTGGCTTAAATGGACTAATGTCTTTATTTGGAATGAGTATTAATTCTGACTTATGGTTTGAATACAGCAAACAATTTGATGCTTACTTGGAAGTAAGATGAAACACTGTCTTAATTTAGTTGCTGTTAATTGATAGTAGACTTGTTTATCCCCTTGATAAGTCGATTAATCTGTGATCAATGACAATAACTACTTTTTCAATATTTAGAATTTACTTTTGGTTTTGGTATTTTTCGTTGGTGCATGTGCATAAGACCTTTACGGCTGTGAATATGCGTGCGCAAAATACATTTACGAATGCACGTTTAATGTATAACGGACGGTATAAGCTAAGCTAAAATTACCTAATTCAGTTAATGTTGCAGATTGCGTTGTTCCTTAATCTTCAAATTGGATTCGGCTTATTATTTCTTGCAGACTGTTACAGCAATTTTATGAAAGCTTGAACTTTCGATTATGTCAAATAGAATTTCTGATATATATTTACTAATATGTAAAAGATCTACAAAGCGAAAGTATGTTTCGAAGTCCATTAAACAAAAAGTAGAATTGCTGCAAAAAATGGATAAAGGCGTATCCTTTGTTTATCTAAACTTTAACGTTTGTTTATCTAAACTTTGTTTATCTTTAACGCCGCAGTGCGCAATGAATTGGAAGTTGATCTGTCAGCACTATCCTTATCTTCAGGGCAGATGTTTTTATTTTATTTGGCTTATAATTCCTTACTAAATGTAGTATTTCATCTCGATGTACTCCGTCTTTGATATGATTTAAATCAAATTCCTCGTCATTATAATTCGCTTCCGATAGCGAAGAAAGTGACAGAGGTTATTGAAAACGAAAAAATTTCGATTGGAAAATTAGTCGGTATTCTCGACACAGCAATTATAGGACTTGAACAGCGGAACTTTGTAACTGAACAAGAAATTATGTCTATTTATAGAATTAAAGAGAATGTATTATCACATAAAAAATGAAGCAACTTAAACAACTTACATTGAAAGAAATGTTTAATAAAGCAAACAAATAAATATTAAGCTTTTTTTTTTTTTTGTAAATTTTGATACCCTTTAGATCATAATTGTTCTTTATTTCCTAAATTAAGGTTTCATATTTTTAATTTTATAATTTCTGCATGCCATCTTATCAGATTTAAACTGATGATCTATAATCCGGAAAAATTGATAATGCGGAATCGCCGAAGTCCCGACGAATCCGGATTAACGACTTCTGACTGTATATACAGTGTTTTTCTCAGTATAGTATACATCATTAATCCATTTCAGATTCTTGGACTTATGCCAAACAAGTTTTTCCAATATAAATGAGAGGCAAAATAATCAAGCCACTCTTATGAAAAAAAATCCATTGTTATTATAATACTCTTAATACTAAAACACAAATACAGTGGGTAAAATATTTACTGTATATAAATGAAACACTGCATATGCTACTGCACATAAATAATTTTCTGCTATTCAGATCAAATGCAATTTTTCAACATGCTCTAGGTATATCTGATCTTTGTTTAGCTATTGATTTCACCCCTTTTTTCACAATGCTAAATGATTTGGTATCTCCTTTAAATCATAGACACTATCATACTTGGCATAAGGTAAACAATAGTTTAGTAAGTCCCAGATATGAATGTCATCTTCATACATTTTGACATCTCATTTTTCACTTTCATAGTGATCCTTAACATTTTCTCCATTGTTCTCTTCTCATATTATCTTATTACCTTTCTAAGAGCTAATGAATTTTGAAAAGATTTACATGAAAATGCAAAATCGCTTCAAAACTCAGTTATAGCACAAGTTGTTTACTAAATAGTAACTACAAGTATACTAATGGGAAGTCATAGCATTGCCTTGAAGGATGTAAATAAGTGTAGTGTGTGCAGTCATGACTCACTGAATTCAAGTCATATTCCAAACAAATAGCGTACATAAAAAAAAAATTTTTTTACCCATCGATTCAAGACATATACTAAGTTTAATATATTTTAAAGCAAATATTAAGGGTGATCTTTTTTAAAGTGACAGCGTTTGGAGCGCCCTGTAGCGCGATTTAATAGCCGAAATGGCACCAAACTTCGTATTTAGACTGATCAAGACATGGGAAAAAGGATTCCGTGGAAAAAATTTTAGTTACAAAAATCGCCGCTAGGGCATTTGGTGGTGCTGCTGTAGCTTACAATAACGAGAATTAACATAAAACACGGGTATCAAAGAAATATGCAAATGTGTGATGACAGCGCCAGTAATAGTGGCTATAAAAGCAAGTAGTAGACAGTTCCGACAAATAACCTCAGCTGAAGTAAATGAGCTCCAGCGGACATGCCTCTCACTTACTGGAACATGCAATTACTGGTGAAGCTGTGTTACATGAATCAATGTAATGCATCTGCAGCTCTTCGGGAATTTCGAACCAGAAAAAAATTACGAAAAGGGCCTTTATTGCTGAATGGTCTTAAGAAAATGATTAAGAAGTTTGAGGAAACGGGGTCACTGACCATTTGCCCTGGGAGAGGACGTAAACCAGTATCAGAAGATGTAATAACTGATGCGGCAACTGCAATTGTTGAAGGATCGCAGGGAACCATTGCTGGTACTAGCAGCGCCCGGGATGTAGCTTGACAATTGGACATGAATTATTCCACGGTATGGAGAGTTTTGCGGCGCGTTATTGGATTTTATTCCTACAAAATCATTTATATCAAATTCTGCCTGGTTTATTTTTCATCAGTGTACTTAATTTATATTACATTTACATACACAAAAATTTCAGTTTATTAATTATTTGAACATTTTAATAAAAAATGGCAGACCATGACTAGCACTCATATTGATAAAATTGCTTAGTAATTTGATATATTTAGGGAAATTTCCAGATCAAAATGGTTTCACTTCACATTTCCAAAATTTAAAACTATGAAAATATGCCATGAAACCTACATATTTGTTAGAAATTCTAGGAATTTTTTCTTGAATGTGAATATTCAAAATTAAATCAAATGGAGATTTTAAAAATTTATCATTTCAGTGCCAGAATAAACCAAGAAAAATTACAATTGGATTGACTTTTACAAACTTTAATATACAGATATTTAACAGTATGTGCAGTTTATGCATGACTATTACTAATATTACTAACCATAAATTCAATATTTATCATCAACCTAAATTCCAAACTACTAAGGATTTTATCATTCCAATTACCTTTATCTAAATAAAATATCACTCTTTGAATCTAATAAAAGACAGAAGCATACACTTTCAGAATTTTCAATAGAACTGACATCATTAAATTACCGTATTTGACGGCATATAAGACGCACTTTTTTTTCCTAAATTTGGTCTCAAAAAGGTTACCTGCGTCTCATACGTGAAGACCACAGGTTAACTTTCAATACTGAATGCTATTTTTAGCCCGGATAAAGGTATAGACACATAAAACTTTTCCTATATCTACATGTGTGTGGCCTTCTAAATAAGGGTGTGTCTTATATGCCATCAAATACGGTAATAAAAACTTAACATCAATTTAAAATATTAGATAAAGATAAAATACAGATGCTTACCTATTACACTTTTTGCAAAAGAACGATTTTTGAGCGTAGCTAAACCTAAATCTCCAATTTTCACAGCACCTGTCGTTCCAGTAATAAAAATATTGTCACATTTTAAATCACGGTGAATTATAGGAGGCTGCCGAGAATGCAAAAAATTAAGACCTTTTAAAATCTGCCTACACCATGATTTCACTACTTTAGTGTTGATTTTCTTAAATCGTTTCAGATACCTAAAAGGAAAGAAAAAAAAAAGAAAAGAAAAAAAAAAGAAAAGAAAAAAAATATTCAGTACCCTAACATTTAGAAGAAACTTAAATTCCCATAAGAACATACACATAATCTGTCTGTCTGTCTATCTCATATTACACACATACATATATCTCATATTACATACACACACGTCTGTGTGTGCATTTATATACATATATATATATATAGGATGAAGTAATAGAAACTGACTTAGTAGATGAAGCTGAATATTTAGAACTTTCTTCCTTTAATAAATACACAGCCATGGACTTGCGTATGATCATTTTTATTGAACATGATACACATTGTGAAATAATGTATTTTAAAAAGGGTGTAGCGATTTATATTTATTTTAAATAGCCAATTTTCTTTAATTTGTTATTCTTTCCTATAAGCCTTCATTCTCCTAACTGTCAGTGCCAGAATATTTTAATATGGTAGTGCACGTGAAGGAATGCAAATTCTACGTTGAAGAAAGAGTTTAAAAAGCGAGTTTCAGTAGGAAAGACGGAGAGTTAGGCTACTGCCGTCACATCTGCTACTTAAGTATTTGCTCCCAGAGTTATTGCTAGTTCACGTGGCTTAATTGCATTTACTTGCTGCCACTAGTTTTCGATGGTGGTTTAAGAAACAGGATTTAGCCAAGCCCTGTAGCATAGTTCTATTATTTGTACATATCTTCAAATTTTTAGTTTCATTATCTGAATTTCAGTAATTTCCAAGAAGAGGCATAGTTTGTTTGCATTGTAAATTTTAAAGAGTTAATAAAGGGTACTTTTAACCCTTCTCCTGTGCAGATGCTACTCTTTCACTTTTCACACTAAAGTGAATCTAGTGGACTCTACAAGGGTATATCTGCTTTTCGATAATTTCACATTTTTATAGGATTCAACTCTTTCGCTGACAGAGCAACAGCCAGTAGCAAGCTAGCAGTAAAGAGAAGGGGAGGAGAATGCACACTTTCCAAATGAAGGCTTTTGATTAAAATTGACTGAGCAATGGTTTTGCTTAACTTGGATTGCATAATGTAAGTTTTAGTGTTCAAATATGAATAATATTATTGGCTGAAACATAGTTTAAGTACCTAAAGCATTATGACTATGTAAGAATCATATGATATTTATTAAATTTGAAATAATGCAATTCAAGGACATTTATTAACCCTTTCAGGACGGGCATCCACGCATTCCCTAGGAACATCTCTTACAGCCCGGTGTCCCATCCATGCATCGCTAGAGATTGCATTCAGAGGGCGGGTGATGCGTATACGCATTTTAAGCTGGAATGTTTTTCTGAAGGCCACTAGATGGCATCCTATGTCCATTACTTTTGAAATGAACACAGTTTTAAGTTCCTGACCTTGAGTTCATATATCGCTTGACTTTGTATTTTACTTATCAGCTCTTGCGAGAGTGGGGGGGAGGGAAAGTGTAAACAGAAGTGAGCTCTTTAAATCGCTGCGTGCTAATGAAAACATTCGCGTGTCTGATTTATATCCAATTCCTTTTTTCATTCTATTTTTTCCTTTACTATGTACGGGCTTTTAGGATTAGTATGTAGGGTACTGTTACATTTTGCATTGCCCTTCAGATATATTTCCGGTTCTTCTTTTATTTCGGAAAGCCTCACCTCCAGTCTATCATGGAGGGAAGGTGCCATTTTTTAGAGGAAGAATACCCTCGTATGGTCAATGAACCATTTATTAACGCAGATGAGAGTGATGATTCATTTTTTAAAGAGTTAGAAAGTGATACTTTTTCTAAGAGTTAGAAAAAGGTACTTCTCCGTGCTTCGAGACTGACCACCATTTTACTTCTTACTGTAAATAGTCTTTATTGTGTTGTTTTATTAATTTAAAACTTTATTGATGAATTTTATCAATTAAAACTTTGGAATAATTTGAATAGCGCTTCTGAAAATTATTTTACAAGATAAGCAATTTTTTAAGTATATTTTCATGTAAAATAAAGAAAAAAATATTAAGTGCTAATTTTAACATATATAAGAGCTCAAGTAATAATCTAAAACGATACAAAAAATTATGCTGCTAGAAGCGAAACTTTTTTTTTTTCTGATTTTTTTTTAAAAAATTAGGCTTAGTGATGCAAAACCTCCGTCCTTTTAAGATGCTCGTGCGGGACGGAAGAGAATCGAAGGCGGTCACCGTACAGGACGGAGGTTTTGCATCCCTAAGCTTATTTTATATTAAAAAAAAAAAAAAATTAGAAAAAAAACCAAAAGTGTCACTTCTAGCATCATAATTTTTGGTATCATTTTAGATTATTACTGAGCTCTTATATATGTTAAATTAATTAAAACATTTTTTTCCTTATTTTACATGAAAATACTTAAAAAATTGCTTATCTTGTAAAATAATTTTCGAAACGCTATTCAAATTATTCCAACGTTTTAATTGATCAATCTACATACTTGCAACCTAGACACTCAAAAATCAGGAGATTTTTTAGAAATCAGGAGATTTTCACAATGTTAAAAAAGACTTTTTAAATGATAAAAAATAGTTTTTAATAATGAATTAATTTAAATAGTACAAGTCTTAAATGCAGCAAAACAAAATACCTTAGACATAAAAAACATTTTTATTACTTTCATCGTTTTAAAAAAAAAAAAAAAAAAAAAAAAAAAGGCCACTTTAATCAGTTTCATACAAATGTATGGACAGTGGCAGATTTTGCTTTCGTTAAGAAAGAAACTTCATAATTTTGTTCATAGCAATTGCCACGTAGGCTGCTTTCGCTAATAAAAGTTTTTCTAATGTGTCATCACTATATTAGATCTAAATTTAGTCCTCGTTTTCGCAAACAAAAACTGAAATCTTCTCACACTCCGCATTACTATGGGGGAACTGTCAAGATGGCCAACATAATTCTAGAGAGTTCACTATATTTTAAAATTCCATCAGCACTTTTCATTTTCCAATTAACCTCCACTGGGTGTCAATCCTTAGCTGATTTTTATAACTTCATCCAAGTTTTCTAATTGTAAACGCAAAATTGCGACTGCAGTATATCAGTAGCAACATCAATATCATCATCTTTCATGACTAAACAAAGTAACACAGGAAATCTGTTCAAAAAGTACCTTATATCAATAAAAAGATGCATTTGCTAGAGCAGAGAAACATCAGCAACTTTAGCATGCAAAATCACTTCAAGTTGACTGGAAATTTATGTAGTGTGTAATCACATACTCGACAGAAGTAACTTCTAACATGAAGATAAAATTATTTTTGTCTTCTTCTGAAAGTTCTTCCACTACTTTTGTAGTTGTTGCAGCTCCTTTACCAAATCTTCATCTTTCTTGATTTTCTGTTTCACCATAAATCACATCATATATAGAATTACAAGACAAAACACAGACTGGTTTACAAACTTTGATAAAATGTCTTTAAACAGATCATAAATCATTGATTGCAAAACATGAATTAATGGAATTCTGCTTTGTAGAATTGTGTTCAGAACATCAATGATGGCAAAAATGAATTGTAAAAAAAAAAAGCAAAAAGCTTTGTTAAGGTCCGAAGAAAAAAACATAAATATCGTTTCTTCACAAGATAAACTTACAGTAATCGGAAAATGTTTCGTTGTGTTGAGCAATTTTTTTTTTTATCTTGAGAGAAATTTGTATCAGCTTTTGCTGATATTTTGCAGTATTATTTTTGAGAACTGCCAGTTGATTGCTGTGAATGATGCAGAAATTGCAAAAAAATCAAAATTTTTCTCATTTCAGTATTATGCAGCTGTTGGAACTGTTTTCAATTTTTCCTTCTTTGAGAACTCCTTTCAAGTAATAATATCAACAATGTGTTCATCCACATTTAATGGTAAAGAAGCTGCCCCTTTTCAGTTGCTAAATTTAAGAGTGACAGGTGCACCTCATAATCTGCAAATCTGAATTTGCCTTTCTTAAGATGCCTGCAACACCAGTCTTCAAGCCTACCATTACTGGTGCATTATCGGCACCAAGCGCTAAGGCAATTATCCAGAGGGACTGCATTTTATTAAAGTTTAATAATTAGCTGTGCTATATAAAGCCTCTCGAATGTCCTTCTAAAGTGGGGTCAGAAAGTAAACTGCACTCAATTTCTGAAGACTCTGATTAAAAAAAAAAGAAAAAACAATTGGATACAGTTTTGAATTGGTATTATTGCTTCCATCCGTAGAGAGAGACAAAACGGAGCTGTTTTAATGCAATCAATAATGAAGATTTATTTTTCAAACCCATTTCTTTAACAATTGCCACCTGTTTGGTCCTTGCACTTGAGTATTTCTTAGCGATTTCACTATCGGGAAACATTTTTCTAATAAAGCTGCAGCGTGAGCCAATGCATTCAGTGGCAGGTTGTGCTCCAGTAAAAGGCAGGCAGAGAACAGACATTCTGCATTAATCACTTTTTGGTCTTTGTTTCCGAAAGAAAAATTTAATTTTTCGTTTTTTTCAAAACAACTCATGTTGTCCTTGTGTTTTGTGTACGCACATGTTTGAGAACATCTGCCCTTCACCAAGCGAAATCGAAAAAATCGCAACGACAGATGGTACACATTGCAAAATTTATTAACATTTCCTTGAAGAAATAATGGAAGGAAAGTCAACTGTGTACGATTTTTGAAACGTGCACGAGTATTTCACCTTTCTCGCAGACATATCAAAAGACGATAATTTCTAAAACTATTTCCTAAAGGCACGTGTACTCACACAACTCAGGACATTGCTTTGTGCTCATTGGCTAATATATGCCAGATGACACGCAGTGCAGCTCGATGCCCATTGGACAACTGGAGAACGACGTTGCTGGATACGTATGCTGTCAATCACAAAGCAGAAATTCTCATCTGATTCGCAAGGTTTCATTTTAGATATAATCTAGAGAAAATTCAGTTGCTTTCAGACGTCCAAAATCACTTTTTTTTGTTCGTATAATGAAGTGTTAAGCCAAGTTCCATAAAAATCGTGAGAAATA